GCTGAAAGCATTGTGGTCATAGTTTTCTGCCATTATCTTACTAGAAAATATAGAGAAATACATAGCTCAAGTGTTTTCTATGCCTATTGATACCATTGTGTACCAAAAGCTGAGCATACGGGATTCTAAATATAGGCAGAAAATAAATGGCTGTTGTTTCTAAATAGCCCACAGATCAGTTAGAGAGCCAAACATAACATACCTGAAAGAATCACTGAATAGTAGAGATGCTATATCTATCTATCTATCTTCGTTAAAAGCCAGGAATCATCAGATATTTTATAGATATAGATATTACGTGCCATCTTATTTATCACATCGTTCGTATAATCATATGCTAAACCTTACAGGTAGGTGGTATTATTTCAGTGACAGAGATAAAGAAACTAAGTTTCAGGAAATTAAATGGACTTCCAAAGTCACACAACTAATAATAACAATGAGAGCCCGCACTTGTCGACAGTGCAGTGATAGATTTGGGAACTGTAGAGCTGTGGTCACTGGTCAGTCAGTTCTGCTCTCTGAGGTGAGAATCTGAAAGCTCTGAAAGACAGAGCCCAAATTCGAACTTAAAATCCATCAGAAAGCAGTTCTCATTAGCTTCTTGACAAGTGAGTGAATTCAGATTCATTACAGAGCCATCTGTAGACACTGCCTTTATGTTTGTCAAACCAAAGTGTGCGTGCCTGCCTAGTCTGCTGAATTCTCCCTTTCTTAAGTGAGCACCCTAGAGAATTAGAATGTGGGTTAATCATGAATGCTTCCTGAGCATAGTCATAGGCTCTAATTGCATATCTCATTGATAAATCTTGTCATAGGAAAATGAAACACAGGCAATCAAAAATCATTATAATTTCCGGTCATGTTTCATTGAGCAATAAGTGTCACTGCTTTCCTCATCAATGTCTGTGTGTCAGAGGCATTTCTTCTGAGAACTGCCTACATATGAGCTATCTGTATTTGATCTAAAATATATAAATTCAGTACGAAAACAAAGATGCAGCAAGACAATATTCTTTTGACAGTTGCACAGTTCACCCTGGCTATCGTAGTTTCAGGAAAAAAAAAAACAAATAGTGATTATTAGAGAAGGGAGCTCTCTGAACAATTGTAGAATCTTATAATTTGTCACATTCTTCATATTCTGTTTTTCCATATAAATTCAGATATGTTCGTACAGTGGTCTCCATTATGGAGGGATGTGCCTGAAGAAACTTTTGAAAATCGGGTTCTGATTTGGGGTTACTCCTCTTTTTTCCCCTAAAATGTCCCGTATGTTTAGTTGGTTTCACTCAAATAATAAATGATAAGGGCCAATAAAACTTGAAAACAGAATAAACAAAATTAACAACTGGTTATTAACACTTTACTAAGCCTTACCTGTGACATTGTAAGTCTCACATGTGTAACTTTTATACACAAGTGTAGTGAATGATGTAGATGCTTATGCACACATCTATGTGTGTATGCATATATGTGCAGTCTAGCACATTTTCATATAAGACCTTTGAACAAATATCCCTAGGAGTCTATTTTGCAGTGAAGCAGTATGAATTCTGTATCAGAGTGATAAAGCCATATAATTCATTACAGAGTATATCTATGATAATCTATATTGGCTCAGTTTGGGTACAGAGGATGGAAATCCCATAATTAAAGATTGATGATCTCTTCAGAATATCTACTCTTTTGGTAGTCTATCATCTTTATAGACCTACTGTGAACCAGAAGTCCACTGATATAGGACACTGTGGAGGACAACCTTCATCAAGGAGCTGTCATGGAAATAAGTCAAAGAAATAAAAAGGATATCATTAAGAAAGTGGACATCAGTCACCAGACTTTACAGCTATAATAATTATAGTTACTATCGTGACACCCAGACAGGGCCAAGCTGATCATCACAACACTAGAATGAAAAGGAGCTGTTTGGACTGGGCCTACCACTCCTTTAAAAAATGGTACACAGAGGCTCCATTACCCGAAAGATTAAAACAAAGATAGCTGATAGAATCTGTGTTGTGGCTGTAAAAGACAACCTGCCACAAAGACTACCTTTCTGGGTCACTGCCTAAGGCTAGGTTTCAGTTCTTACAAGCAGTATATTGAGCAAGCCAGTGGATACCTTTCTCCCTGCACCATTACAAATTCCCATGGGCTCTCCAACTGAACCATTTCAGAAGAGAGCTAATCTGTACTACCGCAAGGACCCTAACTTCACTTGCCAGTGATTGTGACTCAGAAATCTCAAAATAAATTGCTTAGCAAAATACCAGAACATCTAAATAGTCAGTGGCATTTTTAAAGACATTACTATTACCTGACCTTAAGATACAGTACTGAGTTAAGGACAATGTTCAAAGCTTATGGTCAGGGAGGAACCCATGAGGAAAGGTTAAAATGAAGTCAAGTGAGAAAAAATATGAAACAATCTGGAATCTATTTGACATAGTAAGATTAAATAAGCTAATCATATACTCACTCACTTATCTATTTATTTGACAAACATTTATAAATACCTCCATGCTAGATCTTGGACAGAGAGGAATGGAAATGAAATAGTTGATCTTCTCAAGGAGTACAATCAGTCCAGTTATTTTTCAAACCTGGGAATGCATAGGAACCACCTGTAAGGACAGTTTAACATATAGATTACTGGAAACTTCTGCTTGTCCTGCCCCAAGATGATTTTCACTCCATTGATCCACTATGGTGTCTAAGAGTTTTCACTGGGTTTGAGACTTTGTCCACATTTCTTATTTAACATCATACAAGGGAGTTCTTTTTTGATAAGTCCATATTGTATATAATGTATTCTATTTAGACTCATCTCCTCCAGCATTTTTACACATGTATATAAAACGTTATAATCAAATATATTCTCCTTCAACCTCATCATTCACCCATTGTATTTAATGATAATTTTGCAGATGTGGTCTACTTATTACAGAAAAACACTCATCCAGCATGTATCTAGAATGCCTTAGTCAATCCATATAGAATGTGCAAACAAACATTTCTTCCAAAGCCAGGCAATCTGAGTTGAATTTACTTCCATGACTGTTTACCTCCAACAGATTACCTGACCTCTGTAGGAGCCAGTTTCATTTTAAATAATATAAGCTAATATTTTTAAATCATTTGAATTATCTTGAGAATAGAATTAGGTATTATATGTCTGACACAAAACTTGGACATAAGAGTTGTTAACATATAGCTATAATAATAGTAAATGTTATGGTTCTATTTTACCAATAATGACCACAATTGAGCTATGTTAATCTATGCTGACATATTAACATACAGTTGCATATTATATATAGAATTTAAATATCATTCATTATGTTAACTGTAGAATATCTCACGTACATTAGTATGTATTGGTATATTTAATCGATGGATATTGTGATTTTGGCAAAGTCCGAGAGAAAATTATGAAACAAAATAGTGAAGACCATTATATCAGTATATGAAAATTTCATCCCTTTTCTATAGGGTGAGACTTCCATTTTCCCTTACTGGAAAGGAAATGCATAGATAAGCAGAATAGAGTATATTCACTAACATGATCTCAAGATCTGAATCTTCTACGACAACAGTACAAAAGATTTTTCTCTCATAATTCTGTAAAGTGGTTGGGTTGTTTGCTGTTGACTTTCCCACATTTCTAATCTCAGGAAGAAATAATCATAATCTATTTCCTCATAATGGCCACAATGCTGTTTCATTTTTATTGTAGCAATAGCTTCTTTCTTACAACAAAGTAATATCTGCAATAACATTAGAAAATATGAAAAAGACTTTAAAATGACTTTATCATTCAAATAGTCTCCATCTAGATGTGATCATAATTTAAATTAGTGTTCAGCCTTTCTATATGATGTTTCCTTTCTTTACAATTTGTTTTGTTGTTGAAAACAAAATGAACACATGATATGCATTCTGCTTTCCCTTTAGAAATACATATTGAGATTCCTAACATGTCACACATAATCATAATAATTCTCTTCTTCCTTATCTATCATATATTGTATAATATTGTATTCTGGAACTTTTAATACACTAAGACATACTATAAATAAAAAGTTAAGATGTGGTGTTTATATAGACCTTTATATCCTTTAAACGGATTTCTCAAAATAAAACTATTGAGTGAAAAACATGAATGTGCTTAAATTTGTAAGATATGTTAACACATTTCTTTCCAAGAAGATGTTGCTTATTGTTTCAGAGAAAATAACAGCAACAAGTCATTCATTGGTTCCAGAGTACTACTCAGTGGTAAAGTATTAGGTAGCTTGAGGAAGGTCCTGGGCTCAATACCCAGCATTATAATCACACACACACACACACACACACACACACACACACACACACACACACAATTTGAATCTGATGGCTAGTAATAGATTTGTATTTAGCCACTAATATGTCCTTCTCTGAAAACTATGTATGTCTTTCTTTTCCATAGCTGCTTGCTGATCTTTTCCTCCCTCTCTTTCTCTCCTTTTTCTTTCCTTTCTTCCTATCTTTCTTCCTTCTTTCATTAATTTCCTTTTCTTTTCTTTTTTTTTTTTTTTGGTCGGTCATGGGACTTCAACTCCGGGCTTGGGCGCTGTCCCTCAGCTTTTCAGCTCAAGGCCAGTGCTCTACTACTTGGGCCACAGTGCCACTTCCAGTTTTCTAGTGGTTTATTGGAGATAAGAGTCTCATGGACTTTCCTGCCAGGGCTGGCTTTGAACCTCGAGATCTCAGCCTCCTGAATAGCTAGGATACCACCGGTGCCTGGCTTTCTTTTTCTTAAAAGGTTACCATTTAAGGTTTTTCATGGACTAAATCCTGGACAATTCAGTATATTAGCTGCTAAATCATGGTCTAGAAGTGTATGTTTCTGTTCCTTCCTAAAGCAGTGCTATAAAAAAAATACACCAAATTTCATTTTGTGGAATTTCTCTTCGATGACAAGTACCCTAACCTTTCCTTTCTCAGGCAGACTCCAAATGTGGCAGCTCTTAGCAGCAACATGCTGGATGCTTCTTCTTGGACCTGTATATGGTTATAAGAAAAGAAGTATCACAAATCCTGAAGCTACTATGAATATTGTAAGTCATTGATTGAGGAAAAACCCACAAACAAAAGGAATTATCAAGTTATCATTATTTTAGATACAATTGGTATAACCTGTCTAGTTTTCAACAGTTCCCACTACGACGAAGTCTTTGCCTTTTCCCCATTCCTTGGCATGATTAACCTAAGAGTTAAAATATTTGAGCTTAGTTGGAATGACACATTTCCATCTCCTGGCGTTTTGAGCTGCCATCTAATTATGGATTAATGGAGAGAAGATTATTAAGTTAATGTTAATTATTCCTATAGTATATTCTTGAGTTAGTTCTTTGATTTTTGTGAGGTATAGTTTTTAGGTTTTGTAACTCAAGCTTTGATATTCCAGCTTATAACCAAAGTATCCTAAGAAGAAGGAATTTTTCATGTCAGAAAGTGAGTGGAATGGTACTGGGAGTCAGTGGGAAGACAAATGACAAATATCTACTATATGTTTTTGTTTTTTGTCGGTCATGGGGCTTGAACTCTGGGCCTTGGAGCTGTCCCTCAGCTCTTCGGCTCAAGGCAAGTGCTCTACCACTTGAGGCACAATGCCACTTCTGGGTTTCTGGTGGTTAATTGGAAATAAGAGTCTCATGGATTTTCCTACCTGGGCTGGCTTTGAATTGCAATCCTCAGGTTTCAGCTTCCTGAATAGTTAGGATTACAGGCATGAGCCACTGGTGCCCAGCGTATTATGTATTTTATTTCAAAGAATAATTAAAAGGAAAGGCAGGCATTCAGCCCCATGCCATCTGTTTCCAGAATCTGGGCTTTTAACCATTCTCCTCTGTAACCCCTAACCTATGCATGCACTTTTATGCTTGACATGAGCAAGCATAAACTTTTTATAAAGGCACGTCTCACTTTATCATTATTTTTGTCTGTATCTCTTCCTAGTGTGCAATCTGTGATAAATTATTAATCTTCCTGAACTTCAGTTTACCCATTTTTTAATTCTATCTCAGAGGTCTCTCATATGGATGTTTAAGACATTACCAGTTTTCAGATGGGGTAACTTCTGTTGACCTTTCTAACTCTTTATTGGTTTCCACCCCCCCGCCCATCCCCCCCATCCCCCAGCTCAAGAAGTTAACCTGTAAGAATTAGATCAAATAGCTCCCTTTACCTTTGATTTGATTCTCAGATCCATGTAGTCAGTGAAAATCTTGAACAGGACATGGGAGGGCACAAGGAGAATGAGATAGATTTATATTGCCCTGTATCTTTCTGTCCCTGGGACATCAATGTAGACAGGGCATATCTTTGGATATGACCCTCTCTACTTCAGTTTTTTTAGATTCTGAAAAACACTTCCTTCCATCTCCCTTCCTATATAAATTGTTAACAGTTCATGGGTTACCAGCTGCAGGGGTCTCCATAATCCCTGTGGTCTCTCTCACTAGATGGCTATCAATCTTTGTCTAAACATGCTGACAATAAAGTCATTTTGATCACATTAAGCCAAACCAAAGGTTATCTTCAGTAAACTGGAATGTAGTGTCATCATACCCCTCCTTGCCCACACTTTTACATGCAACTAGAAAGTCTGTCAAATCATCCCAATTTTCCATTATGTGCTGTCCCAACACATTGATTGATGAACTAAACTGTAATTCAAAGTATGACAGTGCATGTATAAACACTAGAAGATTACATCATCAAGTTCTACATTTTTCTCCCCTTTTTAGAGCCAAATTATTTCTTACTGGGGTTATCCTCATGAAACGTATGAAGTTGTGACCAAGGATGGTTATATCCTTGGAATTTATAGAATTACTCATGGAAGAGGATGCCTGAAAAAAACAGGTAATGATTTGTTTTGTTACAAAATAAAAGTACTCTGAGCAGAGATGTCCTGAGAGCAGCACTAAGGCTTTTGTTCTGAAATAGGTGATGGTTCTTTTACCACTCCCACATTTCTATGTAATCTGTAGAACTCTTTGAAACTTTCAGTCATTTTATATACTGTCTTATTTTTTTTTGTATTCCATGTCTTTCTTTTTTTTCTCCGAAGAATCATAATAATAAAAGAGAATATATTCTTATTCCATTGACACCTCTGTAAGAGTCATCCTTAAAATCATTTTCACCCATCTCCTGCATGTGGTCTATTACCAATATCTATCCATTTTGCCTTCTAAAATTTCTCTCTAATCTGAAAACTTTTACCAGATTCAAGTTTGGACATAATCTCTTCAACTGCTATCATGATTTCTAGCTATATCAATCTGTATATAATTATTTCTCTGCCCATCACTGGGATTTTATTTTTCAGAGTAAATATGACCTTAATAGTTTTTGTCATAAATTTCATTAAAGAGCCTTACAGCACATTTATCTTTTAGAGTAAATATGACCTTAATAGTTTTCATCATAAACTACATTAAAGAGCCTTATGATACACGTTGTTCTCTGTAGAAAAAAAGAGTGATCTGTTTAGCAGATCACTCACACATTTTAGCTTTAAAGAATATTTTGGCACATTTGAGAACAAACTCCAATATCAAAAGAGTAAAAGAAAAGTCTAGATGTTTCAAAGGAGAGGAAATTATGAAGGTGATGTTGACATTGTAGAACCCTCCATTTCCCAGAATAACAAATCAATTTTGTGACTACTCATGACACTATTTTAAATCTTTACATTTGTAATACATAGGCACCTAAATGTACTGGATGAAATCACTTCAATGGAAACATGCAGAATACTTCAGAGCAAAGATTCTGGACTATGGCAGCTACTTGGCAGTGCTTAACTTTATCAGGGAATAACATCTACTTACCCTATCTAACTGCAGATCAATTGATGGAAACTGAGTTCCTAGCTTCCAGAAGGCTGAAGTCACTCTGAAAATTCAGTTAGCCTCCTTAATCTCAGGATGTCAGTTGACAATGATCTGACATAGAGTCTTCTTCCTTTGGGGGTTGACTGGGGTAGAGGAGCAGTGCTGTGGCTTCTACTCAGGGGGAAGCACTGTACTGTCAGATCCAGGTCTCCAGCTCCTGCCACAGTCTTGAGGTACCAAAACAAGTTTGTACAAATGATTTGTATACAAATTTAAACTGCTCATATGCAAATAATTTACATAGGTCCCAGCAGATTTATAAAGGAGAAGAAAAACTTAGTCCCTCTTCTTTCCAATTTCCTTATTTTTCTTTAATATTTCTTAAGCTATTAAAATTTTACATGGGGAATGAGCATTAACATCAAATCAATGATTTTACATTGTGTGAAATTCTACATATAACCTTGCACTTTGTTTTCTAATAATTCAAATGAAATGTAACAGTGCCTATAAAATCTAGCACAGTTGCCAGGGTTTTAACAAATGGCATTGTATTGTTGTTTTCAGAAAAAATTAAAATTTGGCAATAAGCTCCTCCTTGAGAAATAAAATACCATAACTACAAATAACAGTTAAGATTAGTTTTTCTGTATTTTACTATCATCGGATTCTTATGACAACCTATCAGACAGTACTAATTATTATTTCCCTTATATAAGTAAGTTAATTGAAACACAAAGGGGTAAATATATAGAAAAAAGGATTTGAACCTGGGCACTGTGACTCCAATACCTTCATAATACATCATATATAGTTTCAATTTTATAAAGGGGAAAAAATAAGATATAGAGAAGACAATTATCTATGTAAAGCAGTCAGAAAAGACTAGATCTCAAGTTTTTCTGGAACCAACTTTTCTCTCTTAGTCTCTCTTCTGTAATACAAGAAGTCAAAGTTCTCATGCAAACAATGAGGAAGTTCAGACATGAAATCCTTGTTCTCTTTGTGTTGCAGCTTCCAGGCCTGTTGTGTATCTGCAACATGGCTTACTTGCATCTGCCAGTAACTGGATTTGCAACCTGCCCAACAACAGCTTGGCTTTCCTTCTGGCAGATCACGGTTATGATGTGTGGTTGGGAAATAGCAGGGGAAATACCTGGTCCAGGAAACACGTAACACTCTCACCCAAATCATCTGACTATTGGGCCTTCAGGTAAAAGGGAACCAAATAAATCAACTGTGTATTTTGTTTGTTTATATACATAAACAGATGGTGCTTTTTTAAGTTCAGAAGTTCCCTTATTATGTATTGCTGTTTGTTTTCAAATCCCTGCTTCTTTCCTGTTGTGGTGTGGTGTGTTATGTGTGTATTCTGGGCACAGAATAGTTCAATACCAAGAGTGTTGTCCACATGGGTACCTAGGGTGCTATCTGCTTTCCTGAGCCTTGATCTGCTGGCTTACAGAGACAAACCCATGTTTGTTTGTCTCTGTAAAAACAAGCCTTCTAGGTCACTAAAACCCTGTGTTCCATGGCCTCATTTCTATTTTATTTCTGGAAGCCATTTTTCATTTCTCAATTTCACACCCTAGTGTGTTGTGTCCTTGCAGTTTTGCAGATGACAAGGTAATTCTGTAAGTGAGTGTTTTCCAAACTATATACGGGATCAGGAACACCTGAGGCCATGGATCAATATGAAGATTACCAAGACTCTGTCCTGAAAATTCTGACTTAGTGGATGAGTTCTTCAAATCCATTTATTTGTTATTCTGTTTTTAGATGAGGATTCAAAACAATTAGGTTTTGGTAAATCGACTATGGAATTACATGACTTAACCTCACAGAAAAATCATCATCAATAGGACTTTCAAATCAGAACACATTTTTTTTCTAACTTCCTAAAAGTGTTAGGCATTGCAGCAAAAACCTAATTGGAAAGTTTGCTGAGATACATAGTATCACATTTATTCTTCTCTCATTTTACTGAAGCAGAATGTCTGAGTGCAATGACTGTATTAGAATCTTATGGGTCTAAAATAGGTATCTCTTTTCAGATTTTGTGTTTGTTTTCTTAACAGTTTGGATGAGATGGCAAAATATGACCTTCCAGCTACAATCAATTTAATCATAGAGAAAACTGGACAGGAGCAGCTCTACTATGTGGGCCACTCTCAAGGCACTACCATAGGTACTTTCGGGGAAAATGTGATGGTCTGATGTTCGGGCCCTCTTCCAGGGTCAATATTTCTATCTAGAGACTCTACCTTACGGAGCTTAACTAAAAGAATCTATTTATAAATATATACTATAGTATAAATATAAATATGAAATATATTCATATAATGTATTTGCTTGTATAATATATTTCCTTTATCTTGTTAATCCAGAGTAAGTTAAACAGGGGTGATAGGAAAGTTTTTCCCCAACGTGAATTTGGAGGTCCATAGGCCTGAGAGATAATTATTTATTTATCCATTTCTATATCCAACAAATGTTGTGTGCCACTAGTTTACATACAGGGGAAATAGAGATAAATATGCCATCCATTCTCACTGTGAAGAACACCTTTTATAGATGTATATACATATACATAAGTATTCATACATGTCTTTGTATTATAAAATATTTTATATGCTTTTATTGTAAATACTGTACAGAGGGGTTACAGTTACATGAGCAAGGTAATGAGTACATTTCCTATCAAGCATTGTTGCCTCCTCCTTTGTTTTTCCCCTCTCACCTCCTCAACTCCTCCATCTCCCTGCCCTCCCCTTCCCCCACCCGCCTAAATTGTAAAGTTCATTTTTTTTTAACACAGTGTCTTGTGTATCTCATTGTTACAATGGGTCAACCTGTATCCCTTATTTAAGCATTTTGTTTTTTCCCTTCCCCTCCCCAAATTAGAGAAGTGTATATACAAGATGCAGGGCACCGACATCAAATACAGTGAAAAGAGGGGTTATACCATGGGGGAGGAACATAGAAAGAAACAAAAATCACATGGTACATTATAAATATGTTAGAAACAATAGAAAGAAAGAAAAAACACTTGTGTTCTTATCTTGGGGTTCATTTCATTAACATCTTATCTAGTCATATGTACATAGCTTTTGACCTTTTCTGCTTGTCCTAGACTTACACTAGTTATTGCAAATAAGGGTAACCATGGGATCTATGGCTCTTTGGGCCTGGCTTACTTCACTTAATATAATTTTTTCCAAGTCTTCCCATTTCTTAATAAATGGGGTGATGTCATTCTTTCTGATGGAGGCATAGAATTCCTATATATATATATATATATATATATATATATATATATGTATATA